ACTTGCTCTGGTGGACATGTCTAGAGCCGACTGCAGTTGTGTTCTCCTTACTCCAGGATCACGCTGACATCTTTCAGCACTGTGGTAGAACTGACAAAGCAAATGTTCCAGATCCTTTTGCACCAAAGAAACAAGAGGTCTAATAAGGCAGGTAGCTGAACACAAATCAATCAAGTACCATGGGCAGAAAGTAGGTCGCGTGATCAAATCGTGCAATGGCTGGTAGCTACTATAAGGAAGACCAAGATGGCTTTGGGTTGGAACCATCTAGCGGGCAGCTTGAGCCATGGGCGAAGACCATTAACTATCTTTACTTAAGGGGACAACAAATGCAACACATCAAATGCATCATTGTCAGGGGTAATAGGAAAATGACCGACTGTAGGGCAAGAAATGTGAACAGCAAGGATGCCAGCAACAGCTCAAACCAAGACAGGAACTGGAGTTTGGTAAAGAGTTGACGAACAAATGAACTATGAACTATGGAGAGACTGCTAAGAGAAAATCAATGCTAGAGAGGGAAACAAAGGGACAAGAACATGAAAGCTATTGGATGTGACAGCAGTTGGGGATTATCTATACTGGGTGAATCAAAGGGACAAACGGGAATTTTGTGTTTGATGGGCGTATGGGGTGGTCTGTGAGTGGTGGACATTTGGTACAATCAAAGCATGATAGCAACAAATGCATCATGACCACATATAACAGAAATGCCATGATCAGATGATGGTGAAACAATGCAAATTCACAACAAGAAAGACATACATTTCCAACGTTGGAAGTTTTACTCTTAGCTTACTGCTTCTTACTGTATTTGGTTCCTCTCTATCTACAATCAAAGTTCAATTCAACTAAGACAACTAGATATTGTACTTCAGCCAAAGTCTGTAGATCGTCCTGTTGCGTCTGTCGGTTGCATGAAAACAAGCAAGAGGACGCCTCCGAAGGCTAAAGGCCAAAACACAATTCAGCAATATGCCAAAGTTGCCAGAGATGTTTACAGACATGATGCATACTTTCAGAATTTGAACGTCAACCACAAGTCATACTATAGGTGATTGCTTGCAAGGGACAGACTGATTCAAATGCCCTAGTATGTAAGCGAAGAAGGTACAGAAGCATGATAGTGATAAGCTATGTACAAAAGAGGTTGTGAAATATGTTGGTAAACGGTACAAGAGCCGCAACTCAGCTCATTCCTTTTGAAAAGACTGCTCTGTATTTGATAGAGTGAAATTGAAATCTAGGAATAGATAGTTGTTAAGATTGGGAAAGCACACAGCTCAATTTACCTGTAACACCCATCATCATGACTGGGGAGGATGGTTCCAACTAGAACAAAGCCTTCCGCTTCTTGATCATTTGTATTGGAATTAAGCCTTCAGCTTGACTTCCGGCTTGATTGTAATGCAACTTGGCACAGAAGGCATACAGCCTTGGCCCTCATCAGGGATAGTTCCAACCGGAACAAGGAATTTCACTTTTTGATTGTTTCAATTATTTGTTGATTTCAAATACATTTTGTCAATTTCACGCCTGGAGTTACTTGTTGACCGATTGAGAGATTTCATAATCTCACACAGCAGCTGAGATGTTATTGGAATCATGTCATGATAAAAACAAAAAACTTGAAATTGCCTGATTTGTTTGGAAACATGAGTTTTCAGACTGCGTCTGATCACAGCAGCTGCGTGTGCTGTTTCTTGGAGATTTGCTAGCTGACATCTTGACAACTTGTCCAACGTTGATTCAGTGTTGGGAGTCCTTGAATTTCCATTTTGATTAATGGAGAACTGGAGGATTCTTATTTCTTGGATCTGATCCATGACCAATTGTGGAAATTGGGTGTTCCCATATGACTAAAGGACCATACCATTGAATGGTTCAGGAAGTATGAAAGCGCAGATGCCAAGCTTCTAGACTATTCTGGGAAGTTTGGAAAGCTTTCTTATGGAAGCAAAACTGGATTTTATCCCTTTTGACACTCTGTGTTGAATCAATACAGAGGTATAGGGAAAGAGCAACACAAATCCTATTGGGATCTGTGAATCTTTCCAGATCTGAAGGCAATATGATTCAGCTCATAACCCAAACAGAATTCTAAATGGATATGAATTAATATAGGAATACTGATGTATGGTTTGTTATAGTATCAACAGGTCGTTATCAATACAGGAGCTAATATCCTAGCCGCCGAAGATCCTACTTCAGGAGAGAATCAAGAACTAGTGGCGTCAAGGCGTCCACAGCTAGTTGTATTCTCATATTTCTGATATTTAGTGCATTGTTTGCAATATCACTTTCCTTGCGTTGGTCTGTTGAGAACAACAATTGTCAAATGTAATCAACATCCTACAATGATGATAGGCTTGAGATTTTTGTTCTTCTTGCTACTGTGAGGTGGAACTTTTGCCTTGCATTCACCACCACTTTCTTCAGCAAGGTTGAATATGATTTCTGTATGAATGTCCTTATCATTTTTAACATAGGTAAACGATGAGTTTGTTGCAGTAGGGGTCATAATGCTTTATCTTCACTGTTAGTGGTTCATTCTTTTCAAAACAAAGTCAAATGCGTAGCAAATGCAACAGAAGTTGTTTGATGTGACTCTGCAGAGTATATCTCTTCAGTAAAAGCCCCTGACTATACGAATAGTAATCCAACGTTCACAGAAGAGTTGAAGAGAGAATTATAGAGAGTGCTTCCCTGGACCTGGTGACTAAGGTTTAGTTCTGTACTCAACCGAAGAAGCTTCTAGAGTCCCATTACCTTGGGCCCATTCTTTGGGCCATTTCAGGAATCTATTGGGTACTTAATAGCTGTGAAAACGCTTGAAAAACGTCTTCGTCCTTCTCACTTTTCTGCAACCGTTTCTGCTCCAACCAGTTTGAGACAGTATTTTTCCTGACACCAGTGTCGCAAACTCGCTTCCCGTGCGCCATCAAGACATGCCACGGTAGATGGCCCTCATCCAAGTGGTAATATGTGTACAATAGCGAAGCCCAATCATGCTCCGACTTCGCTTTCTTTTCCATTCTGACTGTTGCAAGAAGCTCATCATGAGCGTATGGAACGCAGCCCTGAAAGTGGAACTTTTTGTCATCGGAGATTGCAACACCCCAATCAATCACCAATACCTTGATATCTTTTGTCATCTTGTCTGCAGTGGTAGGCACAATAATGTTGCTAGGACGAATGTAAAGATGATACACAGAATTTTTGTGTGCAGCGTCTAGAGTAGCATGCACATTCCTGATGACTGATGGTAGGAACTCCTTGTACCCTTCCGACTTCCAGTTGAAAGCGCTGGCAGGTTTACCAATCATCCCATTGAGAATCAGGCCATAAGTCTTGCTTTTGAAGCCATTCATTGCGATATCAAATTGTTTTCCTGCGCTGCATAAAGGGATGTTTGGCACTGTCAGCGGCGCAAGGTTTTTGCCTCCTCCTTCAACGAATGTAACGCCCTGTGCGAATTTGGTATCTTCAGAAAACACTCTGGTCCCTCCTGTCCGACAGTAGTCTTGCGAATTTTGTAAACGCTTCCAAATGCTCCCGAACCCAAAAACCTGTCAATGGACATCCCGATCCTTGCATTATTCTGATTTTCGCCTTCATGGATATATGCTTTGATGGTGGCGATGTCATGCTTTGCTTCGGACATTTTGTAACTAGCACTCAGAGCAAGTGCCAGCATCTCAAGGCCCTTTGTAGAAAGCAAATCAAATGCTTTGGTCTTGCGAAACAACACTGCAACATTTTCTGTTCCAACGTTTTGTAGCGATGCCTTTACAATTGACACTTTGGACAACGAAATGGCGACCCCATAGAGCTCACAATCCACACCAATGCTGAGAAAATTGAGGTCTCCCCGCAATCGCTTGGCAAAGTTTCCAATTATTTGGATGCCCGCCATTTTGATTTCTGTTTTGTCCTCGTTGAAAGTATTTCCACACCGCTTGACTTCAACTATACATTCAATCATGCTTGGCATGGCACAGAAAAGGTTCTCTCGAAATTTATGAACCAAGAAGTCCATTACGCGTTCCTTGTCATCTTCTCTTTCCCGTCGTACTCTCTGCTCCTTTGAAACATAAAGAAAACCGAGATCAACAATGTCAAGCACCCGGTAGATGATGGCATGAATTATTGGCTGAACAAATGCAGTCTCGCTCCATTTTCTAACCTTGAGCTTTTTGTCGCTTTTTCCGTCGGCTACAACGCTGCGATCGAGAAACTTGGAATTGAGAATATCGTTTGCTACTTTGGTTGCCAGGATTTTCAACTCAGCGCCCTTCTTTTCCTCGTTCGTATCGCCAGTAGCTTGCTCGTCCAAACATAATTGATCAAGAAGTCGCACTCCCATAATCTCCATTGAATTCAAGTATTCATTTACTTTATTCTTGGGCCAACCAGCCTTTTTCTTCAGGTCATTCAAAAAATCCTGCTCATTCTCCACCGTTTTGAAACCTGATTTTTCCGGGATTTTTCGAGGCACTCTTGGGTTACTGCTCTCCACGGAAGCCTCTTTCGTTGACTGCGGATCGGTTTGGGAGTTTGATTTGGATTTGGTTTTCGTTTCATTACCCCAACTGGCGTAGGGGCCGAGTGCATCTTGAAGGGATGTATGCTTTTCACCAATAAACTTTACAGTTGCCACGATGCCGTCCACCAATCTCATTCGATCCAATTCCAATCTCATCCGTTTTTCTTCCAATCTCATCCGTTTTTCTTGTTGAAGTCTCAGCAATAGCTCACCGTCTCCGTTCGAGGTGTCTTCTAGTCTGCGCTTTTGACCCGCCACACTACTTCTGGTGTTTTCTTCTAGACTCCGCTTTTGCCTTTCCTGGCTACAAGTACTTCTGCCTTCATCTGGATCTTGACTACTAGCTGATCAAGTTTCTTGCTCATGTTCTGCTTGTTTGGATTGTAGTTCTTCCTGCTCCGAGGCTACTTTTTTCATTTCTTTTTGCAATTTTTCAAGCTGTTCTGCAACATCCCGCACGACTTTCAAAAATGGATGGCTCATATTTTCATCTTCGTTGCTGAGGTTGACAAAGAGCGTCGACTCAAGGCACTCAGTAACACTAATTTCTAAGAATAAGTTATCCAAGAATTTCTCACTGGTAAGGAATGATTTTAAATCGTGTAACCGCTTCGTCCATTTTGCCAAAGTGGATGAGGGAGAGCACTCGCTATCGTGCGCATCGATTGTGACATCTGCAGTATCGTCCTCTTCTCTACGTGGATCGTGCGTGGCTGAAGTGGTTGGCTTTATTGAGTGTGCAAGACTGCCATCGGGGAGAGGAGATGCCATGGTGAATGCGTGCTCTCTTATCTTGAATGATACACTCTATGATGTGAATGGAATAAGTGACCAACAGAAGATAATAACACCAAAAGGTAGAGGTACCCAAATAAAGGCCACCGTGCTATTAGATACGCACGCATAGTCTGTACGCGGTAAAGTACAGAATCGGTGATGGACCACACACATCATCACAACTTTCTAGATTTCCTTTTAGGAACGACTATCGGCTTTCCTTTACTTTTATCACCCCCCTAGTAAGTCTATCGCTACATGACATATTTTACATTGTTTATCACGACCCAATAGCAATGAAAGCAAAAGCTATTCAATGATATGCATTCAAATGAACGAATTGTGAATACGAATACTGCAATATTTTTTCATATGTGCAAAGCCGATTTCGATCGTGTCAATGGTGCTACATCACCGGTTTCGACCATGTAAAACTGAGTTCCGTACCCTATACAGAGATGCGGAGGAACGATTGCCGTCGAACATGCCAAAACCAAGAGGTAGGCGAGTGGGAAGCTTGGCATACGTTGATGCCTCGCATGCAGCAAACAAGAAGACTTGTAGATCGCATACCGGCTATGCCATCTTCTTGAATAGGGCGCCTATTGTTTGGCACAGCCAGAGGCAGAACACAGTGGAGGCCAGCACTTTTGGGGCTGAATTCATTGCTCTGAAATCATGTATTGAAGCAATTACGCATTTACGCATTTACGCTACAAGTTGCGTATGTTTGGGATCCCACTGGATGAGGAACCAACACAGGTGTTAGTGGACAATGAAGCGGTTGTTAAAAACTCGTCACTGGTAGAATCTACGTTGAACAAAAAGCACAATTCAATTGCTTATCATTATGCACGTTGGAATGTGGCAGCTCGGGTGATTGCAGTTTCATGGATTGATGGTGCAATCAATATTGCAGATGCATTTACAAAGCGATTAACACAAATGAGGAGAGAAAACCTTTTTGGTTCTTGGGTTTATTGAACAACCTATGGATCACCTTGATCCTTAGCTTGAGGGGACCAAATAAAGGCCACCGTGCTATTAGATACGCACGCATAGTCTGTACGCGGTAAAGTACAGAATCGGTGATGGACCACACACATCATCACAACTTACCTTTACTTTTATCATCCTCCTAGTAAGTCTATCGCTACATGACATATTTTACATTTACCTTACGGGTATGAAAATTCAATGTACCGATGTTGGGAAACGGACGGGCGCAGCATTTAGCATACAATTCTTGCGAGTAAATATTGATTTTCCCGGCCGTCCCGTAGTTCTGTCTGCAACACAGGGAGGTTCTGCTGAATCCCGCCCGTACGTCGTACGCTTCAATCCTTGACTCATCAATCATGAAAGTTGAGGTAATGGTATATCCGCAAGCATAGCATCTTTCGAGCGCGCCGTCATAGAATCTTTCGATTCCAGCCAACTGCCCGCACATAGATTACTTGCTTTCCATTCTCTAAAACAACGTATTTGCGATACTCTGAAGCCATGTCAATCAATATCTGGACCATCATGCCAGTGATTTTCATGTAGATACAACCTTCTCCTTCCTTAGCTTCAGGCATATAAGTTTGAATGAAAGTGTTAGGCACATCCATCGTCATTATATCTCTACCTTTGTTTGCATCACTAACACAAGTAGTGGTAATTGCTTCTTGCAAAGCAGTCGGACTTGCAGTGTCCTGTCGCAATAACCATTCACGAGTTCCATTGCCTCAGTATACTAGGCCACCTTTAATTGTCTTTTCAAAATGCTTTTCCGCGAGCAACATCATCACTGATTGGGCCTTCTTTCGCTCAAACGCAGTCATGTCTTTAACAAATTCGGGAGTGAAACAATCTCTCAGGAGCATTTGTCTCAATTCCTTATCCACAGCATCCTTTCCATCATCACCAAACTTCTTCAGTCCTTGGTTGATGTAATACTGTTGAATGAAGTTCAGACCTTCATCAGTATCGAACTTGGCCTTGATCTGCATCATGCAACAAGCAAGCTTTCATCTCATTCCCAATCTGTTGGAAACATAGATTGTGCTGTGCTTCAAGGATAGCTTTACTGTCTTTAGTACCGCGACTTCCTTCTTTGGTACAAATACCAGATTCTAACTTGTTCTTCAACAGTTTCAATTCTCTTTCTCGATGCTTGCGTCTTGTCGCAACTTGATTCTTGTTCTTATTGGCAGAACTGCCCGCCACTCCTGCTCGAAGGCCATTCTCTTGGTTTCTTTGGAACTTGAGAAAGGTTCAGCCCTGACATTGTAGCTTGCGCATACGTTTGCCCAGATTGAGGGACTTTCGTTAAAATGCGCTGCTAGTCAGCCAAAACAGATCAATTACTGGACGAAATATAGACAAGGAAAACTTGTGACTATCAGATCTTTTCAGACTACAAAACTACACGTACGGAGGACAGACCACATACTTCCCAAAATAATGGTCCAGTCAAAAGTCGTCTGTTTGTCCATCAGATGATAGCCGTTGTTGAACGTCTGCACCCCAACGGCTAATGTATCCAAAGTATCTTATACAGGTATTGAGATTACCAATCTTGGCTACCATCTTCCCTCGCTAAGCTTCCCCACATTCTCAACGTTGTTAAGACTAAGCATTGCCATTGCCTGCGTTGAGATGGTCGGAATTTCATCCTGTTTGCATCCTTCACAACACAAAATCACTATAATTTTCAGGATACTGTTTTATCACACATCTTTTGGACATTTACAACTATTTCAGTACTTTTAGCACGACAAGCCTGGACAATCTTGTGCCTGCATTCTCAAGTAATCAAGGCTGTACACGCTACAGCTTTGAGTGGTAAGTACAAACGTTACATTCGACATTTTTGTCGTCAGCGCTGTCCCACTTCATTCAGTCATCGCCGTCACACCCGTCATTATGGTCTTGCCACCCGCCGTCGCCTTGACCCACGATCTCAAGATATCTTCAACTTGGTCCAACATATCATTCACTTTTTGGAGTCTCTCACCTTTCGTCGTTCCCGTCGAGAGGGAGATAATTGGAGAAGCAACAGAAGACATCAGAGAAATCACAATGATCAAAGCAATTGGCAGAGAACAAACAACGGTTGGAGAAACATGAACGACAACAAACCTAGTACTTCTCCTGCTACCACTTCCCGTGAAACACCCCATGATCAACATCAGCGTCGGCGTCCTGGCAATCCAAACTGGACCTTCTACCAAGATCCCCGCCAGCGAGGTGAAGATGATGCCTTCTGTTTTGATCCTCCCAGACCTCAATCGTGTTGCCACGAGTCTTCCAGACATCGTTCCAATCGCCATAACCCTTCCTCAAATCCAAGTGACAACATCTTCCGCCATTTTAATACATTTCCAAGAGCAGACAAAGGACAACACGTTGCCGCCGACCAAACATGCCACGAATCTACAGACCTACCGTTAGTGTCGGACTCCCGATCCCACGTTGCCATTCTATCTTCTCCCGCAGCCAAAGCCTTCTTTAAGAATGCGGATATTCCACAACAATTCAGCAAGGTCATCAACTGCTTTTGTGCTGCAATGAATCCAGATGAATTGAGATCAGATATGTCAGGTGATGAAAAGACAGCAAGGTACCCAATAATCTGGGATTCAGGTGCAACAACCTCAATCTCACCTTACAAGGACGACTTTGTGGGAAAACTTGAGCCAGCACCTCTTGGACTCAAGCTTTGTGGAATCGCTAGCCGCCTGAAAATTGAAGGGATTGGACATGTTGCATGGTCAGTGGTTGACACAACTGGCATGTTACGAACAATCAAGGTGCCTGCCCTATACGTACCTTCTGCCACAGCTCGATTGCTCAGTACTTCAAGTTTGCTCCAGACATACACCGATGAGTCCATCTCAATGAACGCTGATCATCTACAGTTGTCAGGATCAGACAAAACAAATCCAGTACATGTTGACCACGACCCTTCAACAAACTTGCCAACATCGCTTGCCTACTCCCATGGAACCACTCCTAACCGATTTGATGCATTCGCCAGCATCATCACGTCCACCTTGGAGTCAAACCACAACCTCAGTCCTGCAGAGAAAGAACTCCTAAGATGGCACCATCGGCTCGGCCATCTCAACTTCAGTCAGATCCAATTTCTCCGCCGCACAGGTGTATTGGCACATTCAGAGTCCGCTCCACGATTGCAAGCCGCAGCATCTCGGATCACAACATACCAACTTTGCCCAGCTTGCCAATTTGGAAAACAACGTCGTCGACCTTCTCCCGGAAAGACTTCTCAAGTCGTTCGTGATTGAGAGGGAATTTTGAAGAAAGAAAACCTGTTCCCAGGACAAAAGGTGTCAGTTGATCATTTTGAGTGTACCACAAGAGGACGATTGCTTCATACCTTTGGCAAAGAAGATCCCAAGACACAGTACACCGGAGGATGCATCGTCGTTGACCACACAACAGGTTATGTCTTCGTCGAGCACCAAGTTCATCTGAACACCCAAGAGACACTGAGTGCAAAGATATCTGTGGAAGAACAACTTCGAGATTTTGGAGTAGTTGTACTCGAATATCTAAGACAATGGAAGGCCCTTCACATCGCAAGAGTACAATGATCACTTACACAAGTTCTCACAAATTCACTCATTTGCTGGCGTCGGAGCTCATCATCACAATGGAATCGCCAAACGATCAATCCAAACCATCATGTCCATCGCTCAAACAATGATGATGCATCAAGCCATCCATTGGCCTGATGTCGCAACCACCACACTCTGGCCCCTCGCAGTGGATCATGCCGTCTTCCTCTACAACCACATGCCCAACCAATCATCTGGTCTCTCACCACACGATCTGCTTACCAAAACCCGTTGGAAACAACCACAACTTGCCGATGTTCAAGTTTGGGGACGCCCAGTGTATGTCCTGGACAAACAGATGCAAGATGGAAAGAAACTTCCTTGGTAGAAGCCTCGATCCACCCGCCAGATCTACGTTGGAATGAGCAAGAGACATGCATCGTCAGTCCCACTTTGTTTGAATCCCGACCTACCTGATTTTGGTTCAGAAGCCTGGTCCAAACTCTTTGGAGACTCCGTCTACTAATATGTTCTGGATGATCCTGAGGACCCATTGCATCCACCTGATCCCACCGACGATCCTCCTCCACCTTCAACTGCAAGAGTCCGAGAACAAACAGAAGTTCACAACCCACCCACTCCATTGGACGTTGTTCTGCCACCAACCAAGCCCCAAGCCGATTCCTCTGGAGCCACCATACCTCCAATCCAGAGGGAGACAGTCATCGAGAATCCGCCAGCTGTTCCTCCCGTTCAGCCGCCTCCTTCTCAGAGGGAGAATGTGACCCCTACTCCTACAAATCCGCCAAAGCCTTCATCTCCGCCGCAGCCAACGCCTCCCCCGGCTCGCAAACCGCAACCCACACCAACTTCCAAACCTGCACCCCTGCCATCAGCCACACGCACATCTCGCCGATCCAACAAAGCTCAACCTCCAAAACGCTTTGGATACGATGGACATGGACCCGCAGGATACAACGCACCTCTAAAATCGCAAAGTCCAGAAACCAACAACTTCTACACTTACTTTTCGGCTTACTTCAACTCTTCGAACATTGAAGTGGAACATTCTCACGACTGCAGCTTCGTTCCAAGCTCGTACAAGGCAAGAGCCACCAAGGACCCAGACGTTTTCACTTACAACGAAGCGGTCAACGGTCCCAACAGCGAAAAATGGACTGCAGCCGCAAAGAAAGAAATCGAAGAACTTGAAGGAAAGCTCACCTGGATTGAAGTCCCAATGTCAAAAGCGAAGACCAAGATCATTCCTGGAACTTGGGTCTTTCGTGTCAAGAGAAATCCAAGCGGAGAAATGACCAAATTCAAGGCAAGATATTGCGTGTGAGAGGAGACCTGGAAGAAATGGATGTTGACAAAAACAAGTTTGCACCTACCGTTGCATGGAGTACTGTCCGTCTGTTTCTTGTCCTTTGCTTGATCCTTTGATGGGCCACCGTCTCGGTTGACTTCAGCGATGCATTTGTGCAATCCAAACTGGACAAACCAAAATGGGTACACTTACCTCGAGGATTTGTCTCTCCAAAGGGCAAAGGAACATGCCTTCAACTCAACAAGTCACTATATGGGACCAAAGCTGCTCCCGCGCTATGGAATAAGACCGCCATGGAAGGATTCACCAAGTGTGGATTCAAACAATCCGATTTTGATCCATGTCTTCTTTACAAGAAAGGCATGATGGTGGTTCTGTATGTCGATGATGCTGGAATCGGTGCCAAAGATCCAGCAGACATTGACAAGCTCATTGAGGAACTCAGAGAAATCCAATTTGAACTAAAGAAAGAAGGCGATTTCAATGAGTTTCTTGGCATAAAATTTGACAAACGCAAAGATGGTTCAGTCGAACTTACCCAGACTGGTTTGATTGACAAAGTTTTGTAAGCGGCCGGAATGACCGACTGCAATCCCAATGGAATCCCCGCTACTGGTCCCCTTGGCAAAGATCCTGATGGTGAACCTATGAACAAAGAATGGAACTATCGATCGATCGTTGGAATGTTAATGTACCTCTCAACAAACACATGACCAGACATTACCTTTGCTGTCAGCCAAGTGGCACGATTCTCCTCTGAACCAAAGCAATCTCATGCAACCGCTGTGAAAACAATTCTTCGTTACCTGAAACGCACTCGCACAAAAGGCATGATCATCAAACCTACCGGAAAACTGAACCTTGATTTGTTTGTCGATGCCGACTTCTGTGGACTCTACAACACCGAACCTCACACTGATCCAAACTCCGTTTGATCACGCACCGGGTTTATTGTAAAGTTGAGCAATTGCCCACTGATTTGGCGCTCCCAGCTACAAACATCCATCACTTGCTCCACGCTCGAGGCCAAATACAATGCTCTCTCTTCTGCTCTAAAGACCTTAATTCCATTGAAGCGTCTTCTCATTGAAGCCACCGACCACGTTGAACTTGACAACGGCATCCGCGCCACCATTTGGGCCTCAGCATTTGAAGACAACCAAGGAGCATATTTTCTGGCCACTAATCAAAGAATCACATCTCGCACCCGCTGGTATCTCAACAAGTGGCACTGGTTCTGGGAACACGTCACCGAGGACGGTGTTGGCCCAGAAACTGTCGCCATCCACGAGCTGGTACCATCGCTCCAAGATGCTGATTACTTCACAAAGGCACAGTCTTGTGAACCTTTTGAGAGCAATTGCTTTTGAGTGCAAGGGTGGTAACACCTTTGAACAACCACCCTAACCCTTGTACATTTGCATTGAGCAGAGAGACGTAGACAACTCCGGTTGTTGAACTCGCCTGCTCACCAGTGAGATGCAACATCTTTCAGATCTATTTGTTTTGCAAATTTCAGTGATGACGTTTTGTGTTGGATTCCGGATGAGAGGGAAAGTCGAAAGTCGTCTGTTTGTCCATCAGATGATAGCCGTTGTTGAACGTCTGCACCCCAACGGCTAACATATCCAAAGTATCTTATACAGGTATCAAGATTACCAATCTTGGCTACCATCTTCCCTTGCTAAGCTTTGCCACATTCTCAACGTTGTTAAGACTAAGCATTGCCATTGCCTGCGTTGAGATGGTCGGAATTTCATCCTGTTTGCATCCTTCACAACACAAAATCACTATAATTTTCAGGATACTGTTTTATCACACATCTTTTGGACATTTACAACTATTTCAGTACTTGAAGCACGACAAGCCTGGACAATCTTGTGCCTGCATTCTCAAGTAATCAAGGCTGTATACGCTGCAGCTTTGAGTGGTAAGTACAAACGTTACATTCGACATTTTTGTTGTCAGCGCTGTCCCACTTCATTCAGTCATCGCCGTCACACCCGTCATTATGGTCTTGCCACCCGCCGTCGCCTTGACCCACGATCTCAAGATATCTTCGACTTGGTCCAACATATCATTCACTTTTCGGAGTCTCTCATGTTTTGTCTTTCCCGTCAAGAGGGAGATAATTGGAGAAGCAACTTTTGGTTCCTTCCCAAGCAACTCAAGATCACTTGCACATTTCAAACAAACATAATGATAAACAACAGAATTGCTTTTCTTTTTCAAGACAGATTCCGGGCGACTTGCGTTCATCACAACAGAGTTGTTATCAATTGGCACGCCCATCATTTGCAATTTGTATACTAGACCTTCAACCAATTCAACACCAGTCTTCAATGCAGCAAATTCACTTCCAAAAGAGCTTCTTCCAAGATCACCTGTTCCGGATTGACGTGTAACAAGATTGGAAGCATGTGAGGCATCAACAAACATCATAATCTTTACCGCTCGTCCAAGGGCTTCTGGCATATCAGGGGGCAGTACTTCTTTTGCCCATGGATAGAATTCATGCCATTCAGATTTTGGTATGGCGGTCAGAGCCACATATGCGGAATCCATGACAATCTCGCGGCTCTGATGTGTTTCAAGATAACCAAAAAGGTGTAATACCGCATGAAAGTGTCCAACACAAGGCATGGCATTGTACAAAGACATCATTGAGACTTCAGCACAAACGTCCATTCTTCCAAGCTCAACCAACCACCGTAATATTCCAATCAGTTGCATATACAGTGTGTGTGTCTCTGCGTCAACAAAATCAGTGTTGTCAAGCTCAGGTTTATAACCAGAAGGTAAGGCAGCAGACACGTTTCTTTTCAAATTCAAGTTGTATTTTTGATGTGAGATTTGAGACTTAACAACACGTAACGCTTCAAGCAAATAGTTAGTCGAACCAATCGACCAGCATTTTCGAGAATCACTTGGGTCAACAAAACGTTTTGAAATTGTTGCACCAAGGAACGTTGTAGGCTCTGCAATTGAATCAGGCTTGAGCATGTAATGCGTTCCAAGCTTCTCCAATATAGCACGAGGTTTTTCAGAAACAGCCATAAGGTCATTGGTGTTTAAAAATATATTCGTAATATTTTTTGCCATTTGACTTCAAAGCGGGTTTTCCCCAAACATCCATATCACCACGCACTGTTCAAACTCCATTTCGTCTCTCAGAGCTTAGAAAGCGTAGATCTCCATGAGAACATGGAAGATTTTAATCCATAGAGTGCTTTCTCCACAACAGCAGTGCGACCCTCAAGGTCTCCAAACTCGGGTCCAAGTACTGTGTAAATCTTCTCAGCACAAGGCGCGTTCAAATACGCTCCAGCAATGTCAGCAGACAAAATATCCAAACCATTTAACAAAGCAAGCAAAAATCCAATACGAATACTCTCACAAGTGACAACACTGGCATACGTTACCAAAAGAGGAGGATCAGTTTGGTCCCCTTGAGCACATATCCGGGCCTTTTGTGTGAGGTCCATCTTAACATCAAAGACAGTCATCAAGTCAATACAAGTATATCCAGGGGGAACAGGTTCATCTGGTCCCAAGATTCTTAAGGCAGGCAACACAGTTACCAGTGTTGGCATCAATCTTGTAGGCACTTCTCACGCCTTTTGGACCAGTACCAGGCAATTCTAAACCAAATTTCTCAGTCTTGCAAGTTAAGGCTCTCCTTTTCACAGCCTTTAGAATTCTATCACGCTTCTTCAAAGTATAAGGAACCCACCAAGAGAAAGCAGGCTCAGATACAAGCTCATTAGCAACAGCATATTTGGCCACCTGAATTTGATAGGCCTCCTTTGCAGTTTTCAAATCAATCCATTCTGTCTCATCACCATGAATTTGAGCACACAGATACCACCCTTTTGTAGTTCTTTGAGGAACTTTCTTATTCTTTACCATGACAAAACCATCATCAGCATGGACTCGTGTGCCCTCCGTCCTGTGATCAATAAATTCTTTCACATGGAGGATACTATTACCGTCATCATCAACTTTCATCATCATTGCTTCAATAACCTTGTTTGCACGATAGGATTCAGTTTCACCGTCATGCCATTCAATTTCATAAATAGAAGTGTCCAAGACAGGCTTCTCACAATACGAACCAACCATCAAGCCATCTGCTCTTCTTTTTCTTCCACGAACAACTCCAAATTTGTCAATACCATTTTCATTCTTCCGGATCTTAACACCAACGTATTTGTCAAATTCCACCTGGTCATCTTCTTCAGATGGGGCTTCCTCAAAAAGCTCTTCATGCTGCAACATTTCATCATCTTCATATCGTTCAAAGTGGGGAGTGTTAGCGTTCTTGTGCAGAGGTCTGATGTACTTTTCATCAGCTTTGTAGGCACCCAAAGGATCCTGTAAATCATCAATCTTGATGGGGTCAGAGTTTTTCAAACAGTTATGCAAGTCTTCTGTAAAACGCTTTTTCAGGTATTTGATACCTGTACTATCCCGCTCTTCTCTAGAGAGAGGAATCACACTTGAACGCTGTAAAACTTTTCCACAAGAAGTGGCACATGCAAAGCACAGAGATCTGCCAATGTTAAAACCGGGTTTAAGCCAACGACACAATTGCTTATTCTCTTGACTGCAGTGTGTTGGGGACAAAGCCCAACACCAATCATAGATACCAAAATCAGCCAGATGCGAGATATCTTTCGTATTACCGGAGATCCAACCGGCACCACAGTCATCACCTTGTCAAGAGTGACCAAGAACCATGTGACTTCTTAATTCCAAACAATAGATAAAGACGCGATCCCAAAACGCTTTTGGGATCCCTCTTCTTGTCATAAAACGAACATACATTTTTGTTGCTTCACGAATAGAATCTTCAGCAAGGTTTTGATCAGGATTGTAAGGCTCGCTAGGATGTATTGGAACCTGGGCCTTATTTGCGACTTTTTGAAATTCTCCAGCAGTCAACGACTGAGCATCATCAGGTCAGAGAACTCTTGGAAAGGCAATATCACAAAATAGTTCCTTGAGCAAGTTGCTCACTTCAGATTCTTTCTTCAAAGCATAGCCACGGGCCCATTGACAGGCAGCAGCATAGAAACACAGGGGCCTTGTTTGATATCGGCCCAATTTGGAATTGAGTGGGGCAAAATCGTCTTGAGTCTTCGACTTTAGTCCAGTCCCGCAAAGCACGCTGGGTTGTTTTCTTGAGAGTAAGACGGGCTGATTCGCCATCTTCGCGCAAGTTGTTCAGGTTTGACCAAATAGCTCTTACCATTGGTTTTAACACCATTGATAGTCGCCTCAACTCTGTCCCCTAAAGCGATAGGAAGAGCGAGTGGGCAAATATAGCGGTAGTTGGGATCAGAGCGGTCAACAGAATAGATTCGTTGAGTGGCTAGGTCCCCTTGATATTCACCTCATAAATTTTGTTCGATGCAAGAGAATTCAGGATCATAAGGTTCCCAAGGGACGGAACTGGTCATTTCCACCGAAACATATTCATCAAGTTCAGACAGCGCAGTTTTGCGACAAGCAAAGAAGCTAATAGGCTTCAGGAAGTCCATCAAGATATGTAACCCCAAGTTTTCATCAATAAGTGAATGCGAATATTGATTGCGATCTTTGCGCTTTAGACATTGGAGGGGCACATTGTTCACAATTATACCAAAATCTTGAAGTTGATCTACACAAAGGAGATTACTTTTCATGGTTGGGAGGTACAATGCTTGATAAAAAATCAAGATATACGTTTCAAGGGACAAAGGACAATCATAAGCAACTGCAACTTTTGCAACTTTAACATTAGGCACACTGCCAAGCAAAGGATCAAAGCCTTTAACTGTCAAGGTATGAGGATAGGTTGCAAGAACCAAACAATTTTCGCCAAAAGCATAAGTATTGGCGTGTGGGTCAAGCTCACATTGGGGCAAGGAGTAGGAAAGGGACATTAAAACACGAACACAAGAGGAAAGGGAACAGGCAACACAAATCTGATGGTCGGTCTCATGTCAGCGACGGCCATGTCAAACTCCGCTACCAACATTGCCAGAAGAGGGTGCTGGAGCTGGTGTAGGTGCGGGTTCTTCATTTTGTTATCGGTCACAATTTTGTTTACGCAAAGTGTTCAATTCCGCAATGTCACGTTCACTCATAACACGACTTTTAGCACGTTCACGGGCTTGAAGGACAACACAGCAATCACGATTAGAGAAACAGCTCCAAGTGTCTTGGGAGTATCCACTGTTGTTAAGGATGGTTGTGCCATCATCGGACCATACAGTACCATCGTGGTCTTGACTACCACCTCGTCCGCGACCTCTGCCACGTCCATGTTGATTACAATTACGATTACGATTACGACCACCATTATCACGATCACGACCACGGCCATGTCCGCGATTAGAGTTTCGTCCGCCACCATCAACCGCAGCTAAGGCTCTTGTGCCGCTGATATCTTCATTCTGCAAAGTGTTGATAGCGTTGCACAGATTTTGCATACACGCTTGACTTCCGCAATCAAGTGTCTTACAGGCGTCCAAGCCTGCGCCCTGCGGACCTTCTTTGATCATGCTCAAGTAATTTTTCAAGTCTTCAAAAGCACCAACAACCCGTGCCGCAAATTTTTCAAAACTAAAATTTTTCTTTCCATTGTAGTGGGTTGTATTCAAGACACGGTAGGCAGAGTTGCGCCTCTTATTGAGTTGGCCCTCACCCTGATAGTGGGCAACCAGATCAAGATACGGTTGCCTTCCATTTTCTGTAGTCTTGTATCCTTTGATAACAGGCCAAGCATCAGTTCCATGGCAGACCAAATATAACATATTCCATACAGCTTTATTATTAGCGACAAACTGGTCCTCTTGATGTAAGCTTTGGCGAATTGCCTCATCCTCCACAGATGGCATAAGGAAACCAGGATCAGCTGTCGGATTGTCGTCCGGATTTTGATGCTCACGGACTACATATGTTAACAAGGTGCCACCTTTTCCACGATTGCGTTTCAACCACTGTTCCAAGCTCTCCATCAGTTCGACCATATTTTTATTGTCAAATTTGGGAGGCATAACCTCTGAAATATCTTCAAAATCGTTCGACTTGTTCTTCAAGTGGGAATAATAGCGATTGATTTTGGCCAAATTCGCTTGTGTCCCAAAAGCTGGATCATGTTGGCGATCCACCATATAAATAAATCGGCAATAGTCGCAAAGGTTGTAGAGCATGATTTTCTGGGCTTGGTTGATTGAAAACGTAGTGTCAGGATCATTTCCTGGATCAATCACAATGCGATTGATTTGTTTCACCAAGGAATCAATATTGTCGCGCGTCGAGCGGGCAAAGAAAGCAGGGGAACTGAAGCCCTGTTCAATAACAATCTCTTGTGCCTCATCCTGAGAGAAATTGAGAACATCTTGAATGTAGTTTTTCCATGCCATTCTCGTAGCGGCCATTGTTCAGTGTCTTTCGTGTTTTTGTAAAAATAACACGGCACAAATTTCAATATTTTTGTTTTGCCAGTTGTTTTCAGTTTCTGATCGGAGTCGTATAAGTGTGAGATCTTAATTAAAACTATCGCACTACAAATAATTATATATGGAGTATCGAGCAAGATATCCTGGGTACGTCTACCCCTGTGGCAAATTACTCGCAACCAAACGGTTTAAACCGTAACAAGTGGCCGTCTTCAGTCAACGCTCGAGACTGAAATTTAGCGACGTGAAAACCACGGATCCTTTGACAATGGGCGATCCAACCTTTGCAGGTCAACCACAAACTTTGGAGACCAGATATTATTTCAAAAAGCCTTCTCAAGCTTTAGCTCACAACAAAGAGCTTTCTGGGTCTGATAAACCGTTAAAATGCGCTGCTAGTCAGCCAAAACAGATCAATTACTGGACAAAATATAGACAAGGAAAACTTGTGACTAACAGATCCTTTCAGACTACAAAACTAGGCGTCCGGAGGACAGACCACGTACTTGATAATGTACCATTGGCGCCAATTAATGCAGAGCTTGCGGCGCTATCCAAAAACGGTCGGCTCGAGCTGAAGTTGCTGCGATGCAAAAGTCCATTGGCACATGCCATTCAGAAGGTGGCGTCACACTACTGGATCGTCCACATACCGATGACCCAGATCGCCCACCGGATATCAGCATTGGAAGCTTGAGTACGGAACAGTTGATGGAACATATGTTGGAACATGAGTTATGTGGTGAGATTGATCTAGACGAAGTGATGGCTTCTGCAGCCTATGCCAGACCAACGCAAGGTGTTGCAGCGGCTCACTTGTCCAAAATTTGGAAAATCGATCTGCCTACTGCCGAGAGAACGTTGAATGCCACTACCCAGTTACTACACCAATCGGAGGACCCCTCAATGGCGCGTAACTTTGGGACCAACAACCGGATGCTTCGATACAGACGACTCACCCAATACTTCTTCATGGATACGTTTTTTGCCACGAAGAAAGGAGGGAAGTCTGCTCGAGGAAATACTTGTTGCCAACTCTTTGTCACTGACAAAGGATTTGTATATGTGGTACCTATGCGTACCAAGAAAGATGTCACCCTGGCCGTCAAGCAATTTGCAAAAGAGATTGGAGTCCCCGATGCAATTGTCTGTGACGCGGCAGGTGAGCAGACGTCTATTGAACTCAGAAGATTCCTAAATAGCATTGGGACCACTATCCGGGTCCTCGAACAAGGAACCCCGTGGGCCAATCGAGCTGAACTGTATGTAGGATTAATGAAAGAGGCAGTCCGTCGTGACATGAGGGACTCCAACTGCCCCTTCGTCTTCTGGGATTATTGTGTTGAGCGAAGAGCTCGTGTCAACAACTTGACTGCAAAAGATTCGTTTCAATTGCGCGGTCAAACCCCCCAAACCGAAGTAACCGGAGATCCAGGCGACATTTCGAATTTGTGTCGTTTTGGCTGGTACGAGTGGTGCTATGCCATGAATAAGAACATTGCTTTTCCACACAACAAGGAAATCCTTGGGAGAGTTCTTGGCCCAGCAACCGGTATGGGGAATGAGATGTGTCAGTGGGTATTGCAAGGCAACGGAACAGTCATCTCCCGTTGCACCGTCCGCCCACTGAAGACTGAAGAAATCCATTCGCCTGAACAAGAACGAAAGAGACAACTCTATGATAGCTTGAGTTTGGATTGGAAAACGTTGGCAAGGTTGCTCTTATTCATCGTGCAATCTATGGCGGCAAAACTGCTGGACGTGATTTCAGAAATCATCTACGTGCTTGTATGCGACACCTGGGATTCGAGTCTTGCCCGGCCGACCCGGATGTTTGGATGAGGCCTGCTATTAAAGCCGATGGACAAGAATATTGGGAATACATACTGTTGTACACCGATGACTGCCTCTGTGTATCTGAACATCCAGAACGAACGCTAAGAAACCAAGTTGGGAAGTATTTTCTGTTGAAAGATAAGAGCATTGGTCCACCAAAGATCTATCTTGGCGGTAATGTGCGACAGGTGACGCTTGATCACGGTGCCAAAGCTTGGGCATTTGGATCATCATCTTACGTACAACAAGCCGTCAAGAATGTTGAGAAGTACCTGAATGATTGTCACACTGCTGGTGACAAGAGATTCAAAATACCTGCAAGCGCGAGGACACCAATGCGGACTAGTTATCGAGCCGAGTTGGACACGAGTCCGGAGCTGGAGCCAAAAGATTCTTCGTACTACATGTCCTTGATTGGCGTTTTGAGATCGATCGTGGAACTCGGTCGAGTTGACATCTGCTTGGAATGCAGTATTTAATCGTCACAGCTGGCGATGCCGCGATTTGGTCATCTTGAACAGGTCTTGAATATATTCGGTTACTTAAAGAAGCACCACAATGCTGAGTTGGTGTTTGACCCCAATTATCCTGAGATTGACAAAGCTGCTTTTGCCAGAAAGGATTGGTCAACGAGCGAGTTTGGTCACTTGGAAGGCAAAGAAATGTTGCCCCCAAAAGCACCGAAGCCCAGAGGTCGCGGCTTTATCACGCGAGCAAAAGTGGATGCAGATCATGCAGCCAATATTGTGACACGTCGATCGAGGTCGGGATTCTGTGTCTATATTAACTGTGCGCCTGTCTATTGGTTCTCTAAGAAACAAACCTCTGTTGAGACAAGTAGTTTTGGAAGTGAGTTCTGTGCAATGAAGCTATGTTGCGAGTACCTAAGAGGCTTGAGATACAAGTTGCGGATGATGGGTATACCAGTTGAAGGTCCTGTTTTCATCTATGGAGACAACCAGTCAGTCTTGGCGAACACTACCATTCCGGAATCTCAATTGAAGAAAAAGTCGCAAAGCATCGCATATCACTTCATCCGTGAGGGAGTTGCCAGAGATGAGTGGAGAACTGCGTACGTTAACACTCATGACAATGAATCTGATCTGTTCACAAAGTTGCTGCCTTCTGGTCCGAAGCGGGAAGGCTTTGTACGCCGATTCCTGCATCATATCTTCAGAAGTAAAGGCTGAGAGTCAATGCCAAAGACTGAGAGCCAACGTGAAAGTCAATGTCAAAGACTGAGCGGCACTGTGACATTTTGCATTCTTGAGTGGATTGATCGATGGAAGACCCCCCATTTTTCTTTTTATACTGGACGAGGAGTAGAATGCCCCATATCGAACCTACCAGAAGAGATGGTACTACCAATTGTTACATGTCAGTGGCTGAATAACACCTGCTCTACCCCGTCGTTTGTTGATATCCAAAATGGATTAAGCAATGCAAGTCGTCCGCCTTCAAGGTAATGCGAACAACTTGAGAGGAGTGTTTTGATGTCAGGCATGTCGTAGATGTCACATGATGAGTCAGAGACACAAGCAGATGTCCAGCTTGTTCTCTATCATGCACGGCCAATAAGTAATGTATATATTGGCGAGGAACGGGTTCGACACGCGAACACGTTCACGATCCGTTTGGATAAACATGCAATTATCCACATCACAATTAAAAAGAATCCGACAACGATTCACAACAACAACGTAATACGATAGTGACTGTTACCATCTTCACCTTACACACGTATTCAATTCATTACTGGATGAAATATAGACAAGGAATACTTGTGACTATCAGATCTTTTCAGACTACAAAACTACACGTACGGAGGAAAGACCACGGACTTCCCAAAATAATGCTTTTGCTACTTGAGGCGTTTCAGGCTCAAATACAATCTCTTCTTGTAGATCCTCCAGATCAGTAACGAGGCTCCCAATATCATCGGTTCCTCTATTGACATTTCCTTGATGGTGATCCAAATTGGCCACAATAGGTTCTTCCTCTTCATTGCCTTAATCACCTGAATTGTTGTCTGATTCATAGTCATCATCTCCTTGGAATCTGACAGTGAGTTCTGGCATATCATCAACATCATTGTCTGCATCTGCCAAGAGCTCTTCTCTTTCGGAGTTGTCGGTATCATCGAATTGTCCATGTAGGTTGAAATCACGTTCATCTTCATCTTCAGGTTCATAGTCCTAATCCGATCTGGTCTCATCAAGAACTGTCTTATCACCGAAGAAGCGATCAATCATGCCGAAGCAATCTTTGGACCTGACGCCTCTACATTGAAAGGCAAGTCAACAAGACCAACTCCGAAGAAGACGTACGACGAATTCTTCAGTCCACCAGAGGAATTATATCAGCACAATCGATCTATTACCGTCTGTATTGATCACATGGAGATCGAGAATGCTACGTTTCTCACCTGCATTGATACCACTGTGCGTTATCGCTCATGTATTCCCGTGCAGAACCTGAAGACTGACCCTGTATTTGAAGCATTGGATAAGATATTCCGCCGCTACAACAAGGCAGGCTTTCAAGTCAAGATCATCAAGTGTGATCGGGCGTTCATTCCTCTCACGGATGATATGCTAGACGATATGGGTGTTACTATTGACCCGACTGCAGCTGGAGACCACGAGCCTACCGCTGAGCGAAACAATAGGACGCTGAAAGAAAGAGTCAGAGTAGCTCTTGCACGATTACCCTACAAAGTGGTCCCAAAAGTGATCACTGAATGTCTTGGACGTCGAGCCGCCGAGCTATTGAATGTCTTTCCCCAGAAAGACAGTATCTCATCACATTTCAGTCCGCAGCAACTCATTGATAATGTCAATATCAACTACAAGAGTGACATGGTTGCTGAACTTGGACAATATATTCATGCAATTGGGACGGATTCCAACAATTCGATGGAACCCTGAAGTATCAAAGCAATTTACCTTGAACCTTCAAAGGGACAATGTACTGGGCACCGAGTGCTCAACCTCAATACTAAGAAGATGATTTCCCGACCCAAGGTTGTTGTACTACCCGTTACTGACCAACTAATCCAGCGTGTTGAAGCTTGGGCTGCTGCCGAAGGTGTTACTTCCATGAAGTTCTTTGATAAGAAGAGAGATTTGGAGACATTTCAAGATTGCGATCAAATCGCAGGAGTGGATGACACGGAGCAAGGTTACTTAGAAGACTCCTTTGATCAGGACTATGAACCTGAAGATGAAGATGAACGTGATTTCAACCTACATGGACAATTTGATGATACCGATGACTCCGAAAGAGAAGAGCTCTTGGCAGATGCAGACAATGATGTTGATGATATGCCAGAACTCACTGTCAGATTCTAAGGAGATGATGACTATGAATCAGACAACAATTCAGGTGATTAAGGCAATGAAGAGGAAGAACCTATTGTGGCCAATTTGGATCACCATCAAGAAAATGTTGATAGAGGAACCGATGATATTGGGGGCATTGTTACTGATCTGGAGGACCTATAAGAACCGCCAGAAGAAGAGATTGTATTTGAGCCTGAAACGCCTCAAGTAGCAAAAGTTACTCGATCTGGGCAAACGTATGCGCAAGCTGCAATGTCAGGGCTGAACCTTTCTCAAGTTCCAAAGAAACCAAGAGAATGACCTTTGAGCAGGAGTGGCAGTTCTGCCAATAAGAACAAGAATCAAGTTGCGACAAGACACAAGCATTGAGAGAGAGAATTGCCAGAGAGAATTGAAACTGTTGAAGAACAAGTTAAAATCTGGTATTTGTACCAAAGAAGGAAGTTGCAGTACTAAAGACAGTAAAGCTTTCCTTGAAGCACAGCACAATCTATGTTTCCAACAGATTGGGAATGAGATGAAAGTCGATTATGAAGAGCACAATGCTTTTCTGATCACTTGTTGCATGATGCAGATCAAGGCCAAGTTTGATACTGACAAAGGTCTGAACTTCATCCAACAGTATTACACCAATCAAGGACGGAAGAAGCTTGGTGATGATGGAAAGGATGCTGTGGATAAGGAATTGAGACAAATGCTCATGAGAGATTTTTTCACTCCCAAATTTGTGAAAGACATGACCGCGTCTGAGCAAAGAAGGCCCAATCAGCGATGATGTTACTTGCAGAGAAGCAATTTGAGAAGACAATTAAAGGTTGCATAGTATACCAAGAATGGTTATTGCGAGAGGACACTGCAAGTCCAACTGCTTTGCAAGAAGCAATCACCACTACTTGTGTTATTGATGCACACAAAGGTAGAGATATAATGACGCTGGCCATGCCTAACGCTTTCATTCAAACTTATATGCCTGATGCTAAGGAAGGAGAAGATCGTGTCTACATGAAGATCACTGGCATGATGGTCCAGATATTGATTGACATGGCCCCAGAGTATCGCGAATACGTTGTTTTAGAGAATGGAAAGCGAGTAATCTATGTGCGGGTACTACGTGCTATATATGGGATGTTACAATCGAGCCTCCTATTCTATAATCAGTTTCAAAATGATTTGGAGGCAAAGGGATTTGTTTTCAATCCGCATGACCCGTGTGTTGCTAACAAAGTTGTTAATGAAAAACAGCAAACTATCAGACTTCATGTTGACGACCTTATGTCAAGTCACATGGATCCGAAAGTAAATGACGAATTTGCTGAGTGGTTGAACATGAGATATGGTTCAATCCAGGCATGTAAAATCGTCAGAGGAAAGATACACAGATATCTTGGAATGACTTTGGATTTCTCGGTGAAAGGAAAACTCAAGATCCGCATGGACGACTATGTCAAGAACATGTAGGAAGATTTTCCTATCAAGTTCAACAAGGATTCAAAGCAGGAAACACCAGCTGGTAACGATTTACTGGAAGCTGGTAAAGGGAAGTTACTCAGTGCTGAGTACCGTCAGATCTTTCATACTACTGTTGCAAGGGGACTTTATGTCTCTAAGAGAGCTCGTTTGGATATCCATCCAACGATTACTATTCTTGCCTCGAGAGTTCGAGAACCTACAGAGTCTGATTGGAAGAAGTGTGTTCGCATGATGCGATATTTGTTTTGTACATTGTTGTATCACCTGACACTTTCCGCAGAATCACTACGAGTCATGAAATGGATGATCGACGCATCATTTGCGGTGCATCCAGATTTCAAGAGCCATACTGGCGGCACTCTGTCCTTTGGAGGAGGTGCAGCTCAAGTGATGTTGAAGAAGCAAAAGCTAAACAGCAGAAGCAGTACGGAAGCGGAACTGATTGCTGTTGACGATGTTGTCACGATGATACTATGGATGAAGTTGTTCATGGAGTGGCAAGGGTATCCGATCGAGAAAAATATCTTGTATCAGGATAACAAAAGCGCGATTCTACTGGAAGAGAAGCCGAGCTATCAATATTCGTTATTTCTTTATCACAGATCAAGTTGAGAAAGGAAATATTAAGATCGAATACTGTCCAACTGACGATATGATTGCGGATATCATGACTAAGCCATTGCAAGGTGAGAAGTTTCGCAAGTTCAGGGATCTGATTCTTGGTCCACAAGACTAGGTCAGACAAGTATGCATATGTTCAAAATGAAAATACAAAACAAAAATAAACAGTGAATGAGAGCATGTCCCATTGCTGCCAATGGTGATTGTCACAATGGCAGGAGTGTGTTGGGATATGACGAAATATGAAAAAAGAAGCTATTCAAGTACGAAGTTTTTGACAAGTACAATCGGACTTTGATCGACGCAAGTATGCTGGACGCGAGTCTGTCGGACAATCTACATCCACACAAAAAGGGAATGACCCTATACAAGTGAGCTATCGATGTTGTGTACAATGCAGTAGGGAATAATGCAAGGTGTCCCAAAGTACTGCAAGTTCTGTAAACAAGGGATTTCCAAGGGACAATTGTTGAACTTACTTTTGTGATTGAATCATCAATTCAAGCCAAACATTAATCAAATAGGAACAATTTCACTCAAAGTATTCCTAGACACAGGAGAACTATTGTTGTGAAAGTGTTGTACAGTCGATTACAAATTTAGATTGCAGAGAGTTTGTTCTGAGCGCTAAAGGCACTCACGATAGAGCACATTTTGCTTTATTCTAACAAACAGATGTTCCAAAATCTCTGTGAATTTTTCACAGGTTTTTTTAGGGTCTTCACAGATGTTCCAGAATGTCAAAATTGTGGCAAATGGTGGGTTCAGCTAGGAGTATAACATGTATGGCTGCGCTATGTAAAACTATTTGTAGACTTTTTTCCACGGTCGTCTGAGTAAAAATTCTGTGAATTTTCTATCGTCTGAGTCAAAAAATTTGTGAATTTTGCACAGATGCTCCGTAATCTCTGTGAATTTTTCACAGATGTTCCGAAATCTCTGTGAATTTTTCACAGATGTTCCGAAATCTCTGTGAATTTTTCACAGATGTTCCGAAACTTCTGTGAAAAATTTACAGGTTTTTTTGGGGTCATTACAGATGTTCCGCAATTGCTGTGAAAATAAAACAAACTTTAAAATTTAATCTGGCGAATGAAGTTGAACACTTAACGGCATTGTGAACATTTATAAAATTCCTTGTCATAGAAGTTTCTTTCTGACAGGCAATAGTGAAAGTCGATTTTTGGAGTTTCGTGCAGAAGAGGGTGAAAATGACCACATCAACTCTCCAAAAAAAAAGAGAAAGCTGGCTTCACAGAAAACTGCCGGATATCCCTGGTTTGACATTCGCTCCAAGTTGCTCCAACACATATACACCCTTACGATTCACAAATTGCATCTTTCGGTTTCCATCGCAATGCACAATAAAAGCATTGTCAAAATCAGTATCCATGGTAATGCGGCATCCCACAGCAATCATCTTGCACATAGCAAGTACATTGGCAATTCCGTCTTCATCATAATAGACTGGAGGCGGAAATCTTCCTAGAAACCCTGCTTCATTGAGAACTCTGCTGCTCACGTTAGTGTGTATATCGAGTTCCTTCTCAGCATGACGGAGTCCATGCATGAGCTCACCATTACAAATGGTGGTGTTGGTGCAACCACTGTCCATGATGACATGATCAAGCAAACCAATTCTGCGGCTTTGAGTAAACTGCATACCTTGATCTGCTTCAGTAGCAAGATCAGGCAAGTCTTCACTTTAACTAGCGTAGTGCCAGTTGGATTGAAGTTTGATGTTAGTCGTTCCAGCAGGACATGGAATAAGATAGACATCATTGCCATACTTATCCTTTCCCTTGATAGCATCGTGAAAGACATTTGACCTTTCAGAATATCCAGATTTCACAGCTTGCGGAGTTCGAGCTTGAGTTGCATCAAATCCTTGGCGCACTTGAGTACCTCTGAATCCTTGTTGGCTGAGTTGCATTTCACTGAAGGCAATCTCACCGTTAGAATTCATAGAATAAGGGACAGTAACAGTGCCGCCACCTTGAGTTGGAATCTGCATGAGCTGCATTCCAGAAGGAACCTGCATCATTTGATTACCTGTAGTACCAGCAAGTCGCAAAGGTGTGTTAACACTTCCCGCAACACTTGATGCTCCACTTGTGGATGCTGAAGCTCCAGGAACTATAGCTGGAACAGTAGCTGGGACAGTTGCTCCAATCTGATTAAGATTGAGCTTCTTCCCATAGTCTACATATTGATCCTGATTCTTCCATTGGATCTTTGGTAGCAGTCTGTCTGGGCATTTTGGAGACATATGATCTTTGTTGCCACACACATAACATGCTGCCTTCTTTCCATCCTTCGGTTTCCCCTTTCCTTTTCCTTTACCTTTACCTAATCACATCCATGTGAATCTTCAACATATCTTGTGCTTTGCTGACCGTCTTTGGATAATAATCCACTTCTCTGCAATAGTTTGTCTGAAGATCCAGCATCAGAGGAGCTGTTCTCGTTCAATCACAGTTACACAGGAATCCTGTTGCAAGAACGGCTTCAAAGATATCATCCTTGATCTTGTTTTGAGCAGCAGTATCGGTGCTAGCAATAGCAGCATACGCTTTCGTCTTGACTGCAAAATCTCGGAACCAGGCCACGCCATATAGATCTTGCAGGACTTCAGCCTGTCTCAAGAATCGTTCCTTGAAATGCATCAAGTTTTCCGTTGTTCCTTGGTTCATAGCAAAGAACTTTTGATTCGCTTCCCAGAAATCCAAGAAGTCATACTCAGCATCAGCACTCTTCTTCATGAATTATTCAATGGTCGCATGTTTTTTGACAATAATTGTGTCACAAATTCTTATATGATCGTCAGTTGGGCTCTGCATTTGTGAAAGAATGTAAAAGTTCAGCTTGAATAGTTGAGACTTGCCGAGCAGTTGGGCATTTTGCTTCAACATGACGAGGAAATAGGAGATTCTTCAGATTGGGGGCACGACTGTACGCAACAATAAGTCGCTTAATAGGAATGAGAGCTTTTTTGTTGTTGTGGAGTTTGTATAAATATGGTTCAAACTTTTCTTTTAGGACCACAGGTGTATCTTTTCAAATAAAGGCATCCCAGCCAATCCATGAAAAAGTTCTGTGCCAAGCTTGGCTATGATCACAAGCTTGACCAAACAATCGGTGTTTTGTTTGTGGGCGGAGCATGTGTGCATGAAAGGCCTGTTGAAGTGAGATGTAGGAGGATGTAGTTGCGCGTTGAATCTTTTGATTTCTTTTCCCATGGCTTTGAAAATTGAATGAGAGATTTGTAATGCCGTCGTAAATTCATCACCATCGGGCGTTTGCCAATTTCCGTATCAATTGCCGTCCTGTTCAGTTGTAGAAACAATGCAGTAACCTTGGTTTGCAGGTTATGTAGTTTCATCGCCTCCAAGTGTACTGCTCTCCCCTCATGTTTGTTGTATGCTGCGTATGCTTTCTTCAGCATGCGTTCAAACATGGCCCAGTTCATCGTCGGCTTTTCTCCCACGTAGCATAGGTTCTTGATGGTGTGTTTGGCCTCGGCGATGTTGTGGGCTAGGAGTCCTTCTCCTTTGTAGTGGGTGCTTAGGGCGATTCATGCATCTCTATTGTTGCCTTCAACATCAATGGCTCGTATCAGGCATCAATCAAATTTGCCCTTGTGCAGCAGTCATTCCTGCTAGGGTTTTGAGTTCATCGTTAAGTTTGTCAATGGATACAGTTGGAAGTAGTATTTTTGGAGCTGGCGGACAACGTACGGACGGCGAGAATATGACCAAAATGACCAGACCAACGGTGACATGGGCAGACCGCGTTCGCGGTTTCGCAGGTGGGATTGCCAGACCAGAGTCGCTTGGTCCCGCACATAAGAAAAAACTAGTAAATAGGTAAATCGAAGTAGCCACTGGATTGTATGAGCTGCAATGCTCATTCAATCCAGGTAACAACAAATAGATACTGGAATTAACATTCAAACAAAAGTCCTTTTATCTTTTTTAGACTAGAGGCATAGGCCTGTCTGTGTATTATAGCCCTCTCAGTAGGAGAGCTATACAGCCAGAAATTGGCCTCCAACATTACCTGGATTGAAAACAGGTTTTGTTGACGAACCAACGGTTGGTTACCTACTCTGCCCACGGGCACAGTCAATCGTAAACAGCACTGCTCGCGGACTAACCATCCATAGGGACCTGGCTGGATCCAGTACCTTTCAGGGCGCAAGCCTAAGAGCATTACAGTGCGGCGGACGAGGCGAAGGAACAGCGCGCCGGAGCCATCCGTTTTAGTGACACTTTTATTTCGTCTTGACGTTTATTTCTCTCATCAGACAAACCCGTCGGAATATGACTGCCGCTCAGACTTCCACAGCTGGCACGAGCGGAGGCAATGATCAGCCCAGGCGTGGAGCCGCGAACAATGCGGGCAGAAACGACAATAAGAAGAGAAAGGAGATTTTCAAGGGAGATATTGAAGAGATGGGTGGTGCGGTGCTCCAGTTCCCAGACGAAAGGAATCGAGGATCCGCCGCCCAATATGAACGATTTTACATGGCGTTGAAGGACTATATTGGCCGGGAGGTTTCAGTGGGTGCTGCCAAGTTATGGGCCAAGACCTACGTGAAGGAGATGGACCCTTCTTGGGAACCTCCAGTTCCCATCGAGCCTACAACCAACAAGAATGATGTGAAGGCTTTGCTACTCTATGAATCTGAAAAAGCAGCCTACGTCAAACACATTGGAGCTACTTGGCCCGCTGCCAAGCTGGAGATCTGGAGCACCATCATGGCCCAGTGCTCTCCCAAGCTACGCGCACACCTGCAGCAGTTGCCTTTCTACGACAAGGCCGAAAGCACCCACGATTGCATCGCGCTACTTGAAAATGCGAATGTTCTATGTGGAGGAGGCAACCTATTGGCTTTCCAGCCCCAAGCAAGAGCGGAGGCGCTCCTAGACCTAGTGCAATACAAGCAGCTCAACGGCACACTAGACGACTACTACAACGATTTCAAGGCACGGTACGCTACGTTCAGCAGTCTTGGAGGAGATCTGACAACGAAAGAGGACACCTGGACGACTGCGAACGGCACGAAGGCATCAACCAACCAAGCATTGTTGGTGTGTCTGTTCTTGGCCAATGCCGACAGGAAGCGATTCGGAGATTGTGTGACGGATTTGCGAAACGACGCGTCGTCGAAACTAGTTCGCTATCCCGAAACACTTGCGGACGCATACACGATGCTTGGAGAATATGTTCGGAAGCACAAGAAAAATAGCAATAACAATAATAGCGATGAATTGAATGCCTATTTGGAAATAGATCATAGTCGTCCGGAGAACGAAATTTGTTTGACGAGTACGAAATATGAGTGGTTGATCGACTTGGCGTGGATCCTACTGGATACGGCGAGCACAGTTACGATTTTCTGCAATGCTCTCTACCTACGAGGAATGCGACAAGCACGACACCCGACGACTATTCATACATCTGGAGGAACGATCACGGCAACATTGGAAGGATACTTGCCTTTCCTTCGCAAATGGGTTGCATTTCATCCAGATTGCCTCGCAAACATCATTTCGTTCCGGGACCTCCTTGATGCGCACCATGTGACATTGAACTCTCGTCAGTCACGTAGCTTCACGGTGCATTGCCTACGCAATGGTACTGGTCGAACGCGCAGAAAGGTGCATTTCCGCCCCTCCGGGACCGGACTATTCTATTTCGATCCAGAAGGCGACTTAAGCGAGACTTTTAAGCGTTTCCCCGAGAGCGTGAAGCGTTTGTCGAGCATCGAACGCTCGACACACGAAATACTTAATGCCACGGTAGATGAGAATCTAAAAGCTTTTTCTGCACGTCAACAACTGCGAATTGCGAAGGCTCGCGAGGTCTATGCTGATGTAGGGCGACCATCCTTTGCGAACTTCCTGCGCATGCTCAAGTATCGTCAGATACCGGACGTGCCAATAACAGAAGAAGATGCGAAGAACATGATCCGCGCATATGGGCCTGACGTCCATGCACTCCGCGGGAAAACTGTTCGCAGACGACCCAGTGCCGTTCCATCCGGGAGGCGAATTTTGCCACCGGACTCCATACTTAGAGCTAATAGCCAGGTCATTATGTGTGCCGATATCTTCTTCGTCGATAGCATCCCGTTCTTATTGGCCGTATCGCGGAATC